ACACGCACGCACGTGTACGTGCACACGCACGTGTACGTGCACACGCACGTGTACGTGCACACGCACGCATGCACGCACGTGTACGTGCACACGCACGCACGCACGCACGCACGTGTACGTGCACACGCACGCACGCACGCACGTGTACGTGCACACGCACGCACGCACGCACGCACGTGTACGTGCACACACATGCACGCACGTGTACGTGCACTACATAAACAGCGCTTTCTATCAGAACATGTGGTCATTCATCTGTAAATGTCAAGCAGCACGCTTCGCTTCTGCCAACCACAACACATAACAAATACACGTTACCTGATCTATGACATCACGTGAAACATCGCTATAGCCTGGATGGCTCCCGTTGTAGAAGACTGATGCTTATTATAAGCACAGATGCGAGTGTGGCGCGGATTTCCGCTTGAAATTCCTTTATGTGAAAAATTGCTTTTAAACACTTTGTCGTCAGTCAGTCGGACGCATTGGATGTCGAAGCATTCGCACTGTTCAGCAATGCAGCAATAATTATTATGTATGGGGAGAGCACACCGCGCAGACGGATCGTCCCGCTGGTAATGGCTCTTGTGCTCATTCACATCTCGCTACATCTACATTAGCGCGTGCATTTGCATACACTCCTAATCGCGTTACAACGCATTTGTACTATTTTCGTGATATATATATATATAGCGCTCATGTCGTTCCATTTCAGCGCCTGTCACCACGACACTGCGACGTGATTCTTCTGAAGACCGCAGAGTTGGCGTTGCCGTAGAGTTCGTGCGAACATAGACGAAACGCATGTCAATTAGAGATGTAATTCTAATGTAATGCTAATTAAATAAGTAATGTAATGCTATAATGTAATGTAATGCTAATATAAGTTATCGAGTCCATTGCAATGCAGGCGCGCACGCACGCCCGCACGCAGACGCAAACATTTCCCCCGCGGGTAGGAAGAAAGTGGTGTAATATCCGCCCACGCGTACTCTGTTAATCAACTTTTATGTTAGTGGTTTCTTCAAAAGCCGTACTTTGATTCCATTACGATTGCGAGCGGCCAAGCAAAGATTGTGCAGGAAGGCAATATTTAACCAGCGTCCTCGGCCCGTGACAGTGCATTTACCTTCACCGATTCCGCTCTCAATCTCATCTGCTAGCCTAATCGAATTTTCAGGGTTTGATTTACATACATGGTGAGGCCCTAAGCTATGGAAAGTTGTTTGAGACTCTATTCAGCAATTGTCAACTGGAAATAAGTTTGTGTAACAACAGAACTTGACATGAATGCCGCCAAGATGTATAACAAATCCGTTCGGGGCTGGGGAATGAGTTGCTCATTTACTACCTACTTACATGCAAGGTCTTCTTCCTATTTCTTAAGTGAGGTCTACTGATAGAATGTTATCATAGAAATCTATGCGAGAATACCTCTTCTCCATTTTAAATGCATGATTTTTGCAAAATATTATTCTGTTCGAGAGTTGTTATTCTTACTTCTCTCTATTCTTGTTGTTTGTGCACAGCGGCGTGCATGCGGTAGGCCTATACTTGTGTGTTGCAGACATAGAAATAATATAGATAGACTAGTATAGATAGATAGACAGATAGATAGATAGATAGATAGGCCAAAATGTAAGATCTGCATGCGTAATAACTCTATTACTCTTATTATTACGAGCATATTTTTCTTAAAAAAATGCGATCGGCACTGGAACGCGAATGTTTAGGGTTAGAGGTGAAAATGGGCGGTCTCTCCGTGGCACAACCTGCTACCATTTTGCAATGATATATGGAGGCCCCCCCCGACCCAGCACGACCCAGTTAAGGGGCTCGACAATGCTATCTCTATGCATGTGCACCGCAGACATGTTAGCAAGGTATATGAACAGGACTGTAATTCAGAATTTGTAAGTTGCCATCAGCAGAAAAGATAAAATTCGAATATTAAAAAAATAAAGATTGACAAGTTTATCTGACCTGGACTCGTCTGGAATAGTATTTATGCATCAATTTATAGGTGCTTATTCAGCTTGCTCTAAGATTTGGAATTTGTATTTTAATATGACAATCGTAGCCCATTTCAAAATTCAAACTTCAAACATACAGATGTAACTAGTAAAAGTATATAGCAGATGAAAATAGGCTTATTTTTTTCATAATTATGTACTGATAGTATATACAATTTTGTAAATATATGTTTTATTAGTTATCATACTCACAATATATAAATTAGCTACTTTAGTCAAAACATCAGCTTTAGTACGTTCCTCTTTTGAAAATTTTACAATTGACATTTTAACAATTGATCGAATTGGTTGCTTTTCAACATAGGCCTGAAAATGCAGGAAATGCCATTTTCAGCGCCTCACATTTCAAAAATTTTTCTGCGGGGAGTACCCAATACCCCCCCCCCACATCGGCCTACATTATTTCTCGAGCTGGCCCACTTTTGGGAGGCACTATGGATGCGCCCTGTTACATCTACTCTTGATCTTGGCTACTTACCGCCCCAGCAGTGTTCCGTTAATTAATCCTGTGCTGTGTATAGATCGTGCAGCTGTGATACACATCCGATATTGCCATCGTTACGGATAAATATTTTCTAGATTTTTTTATTCGACTCTCAACTTATCTTACTTGGTTTTACGCTTATCAAACACAAATATGTCTTGTTTTGAAACGTTGTGCGCCAAAACTTAAGCCTTGGTAATATCAGGTTAGTATGCTTATGGCTTCTACAAATGTGTTTGTTCACCAGATAACGCACGGCAACGAATGTTTACCACAATGAGGAGAAACGCCCATCGGCAACGAATGTTTACACAAATGATTACAACAAGTTACAAGCGTCACTGACTACTGCTACTGATAGTGCATAGCTGATACTGCATACTTGTAGATACAGATTATGTCAATAATCTAACCCCAAACACAGGGATAGCGGTTACAACATGCGTCGCTATGGTTTTTCTGTGGAGGAATATATAGACCCCTGACGTTGAATCACTCACGGCCCGGTTTGCTTGTGCGTTTTCAGAGACTAGAACTCTCTCAAACTGGGTTATTCTCAACACGAACCTTTTTCTATCTCTACGAACTTACTATGTATCACAAATACTCTGACTTAAACTATATTAACCTGTTACAAAAATTCCGAAGTGACGAGCGGCGGCCTATTTCGAGCGCCATTTTCTGTTGCACTTGATGACGTACGCATTCCCAATGCGCATAGCGCATCGGGTCAAAACGCAGCGCCCTTCGATTGCGTCGGTGAATTCGCCTCTTCAACCTGAAGTACGTCCACAGCCCCCCTAACCCCAGCCTCCCGCCCCTGCGTCAACAGAATTGTGGCTCAGTATATTCGCGCTCGTCACTTTCGAATTTTTGATAACAGGTCTATATTAGTTTTAATACAGAGTATTCTGATACATAGTAAGTTCCAAGGGATAGCGTGGAGAAAGGTTTGTGCTTGAGCATAAACCCAGTTTGGAAGTTCTAGTCTCTCGAAACGCACCAGCAACGCCCTGAGTGATTCACTCAGCGGGTTCACTGAATTTTCTCCACAGGAAAACCATAGCGACGGTTGTTAACCCTCATCCTGGCGTTTTGAGTTACTTATTAGCTATCATACTTGTAACACTTGATACAGTTGATACTGATACATGATATTAAAACCAACCAAGCTCTCCGACTGTTACAGGCGGAGGACCTGACACCCTTCATTACGAAATGCCTGGTAGCTTGAAACAAACTCCGAAATTCGTAAAATTCGATAAATAAACAATCATTTTGTTATTACAAATTTGACCTCACCTGTTAGCAACATGTTCAACTATCGCTACACTTCTTTAATTACTATTTAAAAACCTCGAAATACAAGTTAAAATAGAGAATTTCGAAACAGCTATTACTATTTGAACGTTGCAAAAACGCCATTCTGATGTTATTATGTTTCTTCTTGTTCGCGAAAATTCACGAACTTTTGCTACGTATTATGGGCATTATCTATTGGGAAAAATGGCGGCGTTTTTTGCAGTTTATCTTATCAATTTATAAACAACTTACACTTCGCTTCTTTTTTTTTTTTTCTTTTTTTTTTTTTTCACCACGTAGAGCTACATGCTCAGCTGATAGCGCAGCATATAATAAATCGAGAGCTGGGAAGTACAGAGAAGCTGTAAGAATCATAAAAAGTGAGACAATTTAACGTTAAATAGCGAGCAAATATTAATCGCTTAAATAGCAGCGCCACGTATGGCCGAACATATATTTCTAAATGCGTCGGTTTGCTGACCCTCTCGCCACGTAGTGTTATTTAGCGAGATGGGAACTTGTGCGCTTATATTTAAATTATTCTTTTAAAAAATTTTAAAAAATCTCTTCTTTTTTTTTATATAAAATAAAACATATGACTACAGTGATAGTGATACTGATAAGTGATTAAGCACCACAGGCACTTGGAACGTCTCACATTAAAGAAATACAAAAAAGGTAATAAACACGAAATGTATTACTACAACAGTCCTTAATGTTTCTCTACTCTATTTCGCCTATTTATTGCCTAATATAAGTTATAATTACACGTAAATGCGGTCAAATGCTCATCTGCAACACACAAGTACACCGCACGCCCGCCCTGTGTCTGTGCACAAACAACGTGAATAAGAGGGCTCAAGGATAGAGAGCATGGTTATCAATAAAAGCCGATGTGCTACGCTACATAGGTCGCAATCTCCCCATGCTCTCTATCCATGCAGTCTATATAAATATTTGCATCACAGAACTATGTGGCACTTGTTTTGTGGCACTGTTTGAACATTCCATTATTGCCATTCTGAAGATGGCGGGCGCACATTTGCTGTTAAT